TAATTGTTGTTTAAAAAGAATAACTTGCAATAGTTGAAGACGAAGAAGAATAATTTTATCTTGAATGATAATAGTAAGAATTGTTCCAAAAACAGGATCAACTGGAAATACACAATCATTGATAAGTACAACGTCTCCAACAGCATAAGTAATTCCAAATAATGTAACTTGACTAGATTCATATAAATTCTTTTTTGGATCAAGTGAATCATGTTGTTTTGCAGCTGAGTTATCTAATTCTTTAATTTTCTTGATTTGATGACCACTGTAAAGAAATGATGAGGTAGCAGCATTATAACATGTATACATTTGAGATGCAATATAATGTTGATGACGATTTGCTAATGTAAATGCAATGTTTCAAAAATTACGGTACTTGATTTTGTTTAAAAAGCTATGTTTTTTCTCAAATATCATGCAACTTGAAAATCTTAAGGGCCCAAATCGATTCATCTGTTCACCGAAGTGAACTAACAAATGATGTTTTGGAAGTCTTTGTGCAAAACAATAGGCATTATCAAATGTAACCAGATGACGAGTAACAAGCTTTTCGAGTTGTTCAATTGTTGTACTATCAATTTCAGAACCAAACAAAATGGAGACAATTTCACGAAGTAGTAAAAATGAAAGCCAATATAATGATGTAGATATTGAGTCGATAAGGTGAGATTGATAAAAAATAAGTGAAATATATTTGAAAAGAGTAAACATCTCGCTTGCTGATGTACGAAGTTTGATCTAAAATACAAAACTAGCCCATTTTGAAAAGAAACAGATTTAAGAAAAACTGAAGTGTAATCGTTCAAGACTTCTAAATGACTGCATCAATAAACCGTGCATGGACATACATTTTTTTAAAGCTAAACTCAAATAAAATGAGATATGTTTGATAGTAATAGACACAATCGAGAAGAGAGTATTAATCTAACAAAACAATGGTTATTATGTTACAATTGCTTTCGCTTTCAATGATATAGCTGGAGTAAACCAATTTTTTATGTAGAATTTCAGTGAAAGTATCAATTCATATCGCGAAAAAAGATTTAAAGGTAATATATAATATTAAAATGGTCATCGGCATGCTAAGTAAATATTTTCTCTTTTAAAGACGCATGACCAAGATTTTTTGTGAAATGAAGTAAAGAAATAACGAATATCATAGTTTTAAAAGAAAATGATAATACCTCATTATCTTCAGACAAAAGATTAAATTTGTTTGATGGAGATGACTCATTGCAGTAGTGTCAAACTTGAAACTTGAATTCAATTATTGAAAAGCTGTTTCAAGTATTCAAATATTCAATTATTCACCTCGGGTTGTGATGTGTGTTTGTCTACATGTGTGACTCCTTTTCTCCACCAGTCCCTTCTCCGCACCCACACCTCGGGTCGTGATGTGTGTTTGTCTACGTCTGTGACTCCTTTTCTCCACAGCGCAGTTGAATACTTGAAT